CCCAACCTTGAGTGCAAGGATCTCCTAACTTCAACTGCAGAAAGCATGAACAATTCATAAATCATGACACATGCAGATAAAAGAAATGATGTAGAGTGGTAAAAAAAATTACCCTATCCATGCCAGAGCTCAACACCATACCTTGCTTCAGTTCTGTCTCCCCAAAACTCAGTTCATAGAAAACAGTTACTGGATGCAGAAGAAAAAAGAGAACAATAAGTATCAAACACATATGTGAGCCAAAAAAAAGAAGAAAAAACATTACTATGAAACAACATTATAACTAAATAAATAATAAAAAGTTAAAAGACAAAAAAAATTAAACAGAAATTACAATTATATATTCTTCATAGAAACAAAATCAATTTCTTTCATGAATTTCCCGAGATCCATGAAAATGGCGTGAAGAAAGTGGAAATGGCGTGAAGAAATTATTGAAAAATAATAATAAAAAATGGAAGAAAGAGGAGATAACCATATACACTCAAAAAAATGGCGTGAAGAATATCTTCAAAGAAATCAGAGATTCAAATGCTTCTAAGCATATCCACTCAAACTCGATCTAATCTGCAAAACGCAAAGGAACACTATAAGATGCAAAAAGAACAACAAAAAATGAGAAAATTTTGATTAAATCTGCACGAAAAGAGAACGACGAACAAAAAAATTGTGCACTGATAAAAAATGACAAACAGATAAAAAAAGAACGACTAAGAACATAAAGGATGCGTTTTTCCTCTGATATAGCAGCTGGAAAAAAAAAGAACAGAAGAAGAGGAGAAAGAAGGAGATGAGAAGGCTTTTAGGGTTTTGTTAAATGTTTAACAATTTCAATGAAAAAAGCAGTTGAACATTTACTGAGTTGTCAGTTTTCAAAATTTAAATTTTTCTCTTTTCTTCCACATTTAAAATTTGAAAAGGATTATGAGCTGTGTCCTAATAAAGATGAGAACAGATCTAAACCATTGATTTTGGACAGCAAATCGTGGCCATCAATTTTGAGTCCAGATTATAATTTCTTTTTGAATTTTTTTATTCCCTGAATTACCCAAAAAGGAAAGTTTTTGAATTGTGAAGTGTGAAAGCAAACACGTGTCAGAAGGAGAAGCAGCCACGTGTCAGAAGTTGCCAAAGAATGGCTTTGTCTTAGAATATAAGATATTTTTTCTTACATATAAATCTTGATATCAAATTAAAAGTTACATGTTTAATAAATCGAACCTCTTTCACAAAATTATAATTGTTACTTGTTTGTTTTCCAACAAAACTATAAAAAAAATCAAATAAAAAATAAGTTTTGAAACTAAGTCAAAAGTAAGTCAGGTTGGATTTGACCTAATTTTGAAACCAAGTCAGACCTATTTCAAAAATCAAGTCAGGTCATATCTGATCTAGTTCTGAACCAGTTCAAAAAAAATTCAAATTGAGTCAGACCTGACTTGGATCAAATTAAATTGGATTGGATCAAAATACATGATCTATAAAATCAAGTTGGGTCGAGTCGACACAAAAATCCAATTTGACCTGACCTATGAATAGCCATAACACTGTGCAAGCAAATTGTTGAGTTTCTGCTATATAAGTAATTATTCTCTCTGTTGTTGTGTTCTTTTAATGATTTGAACTAATGCTGTGAAATATTGTTGAGGGCATCTGATTTTTATGTCTGGTTTTAATTGAGGTTACATAATAAATTTATTGTCATCTTGATAGATTGAGCTTGGTAGTTGCAAAGAAATGATCGTATTAGAATATTTTTAGAATATCTTCAGAATATATTTAGAATCAGTTACACAGTCACTCCTGTAATTGAGAAGCAACCTTAGGAGTTGATTCCTAATTACTTATTTGACTAGGCCTTTGGGTAGGAGTCTTATTGTATTATTAGGCTTGTAAATTTGTAATTGTACTATTAGTATTAGGAAAAAATTATTTATCCTTATAAAAAATATAACTTTGTGTTATTTTATATTTTAACTATTGATTTTCGTCAATTAATGGTTAGAATTTATAGAGTTTTATTAAAAATTATTAATTAATTGATGAGTTTGATTCAATAAATCTTTAACTGTTGATTGACAAAAATTAACAATTAGAATCTAAAATAATAAAAAATTATATCCATGACAGATATTTTTTCCTTAGGGGGCGTTTGGTTGAGGAGAATTTTTTTGAATACTAGGAAAATGGTTGGAAAGTGAGTTTGGTAGGAAACTGTAAAAAAAGTTATTTGATTGGGAAAAATTTTACCAGAAAAATTGAATGAAATTCATGAATGTGCGTTTGGTTGAATATAAAATATTGATGAGAAAACTTATTGAAATTACAAAATTATCCTTTTAAAAATAACCCTTTTAGCTTTTACAAAACTTATTGTGCAAACTTAACAGTGCTTTTCTTCTTTTTTAACGTGTAATTGTTGATAGCTAGCTAACTGATATTTATGGGTAAAAATTGAGAATCCGTGAAACAAACGCAGACAATTGACAAACTTAGAATCATTTGCCTGGAAAATCGATAGAACTCTTGAAACAAACACTGCCTTAGTATTACACGAGTTTTCCTCCAATGATTCGCGAGCTTTCATCCTCTTGGTCTTCCAATTCATGAAACCGTCTCTTCAACGATTTCTCAAGGCCATGAAAATGTTCCTCAAGCTCTTTCCATTTCAAGTTAAGTGTAACAGCTCGATAACTTTCAAGCTCAGCAAACGCCTTTCGGAGCTGCGTTGTATCTTAGAAGTTGTAGAGTCTATCAGCATCGCAACCGAATCCGTGTCTTCCATCTCAAAGAAGCTGAACAAATATTTGAACAAAGGAGATAAGAAAAAAAAAATTATTCCAAGAACTTCACGATTTTTTTGTCAAAACTGGAAAAAAAAATTGTATAATTAAAAACCCTTGCAGTGTTGCGAAATATTTGAACAAATATTTTCCGTAAGAAGAGTAGAATAGTCATATTAGTTGGAAACTCTAACTGTTAAGGAGGAACCTAGATTAAAAAAAGTACGGATATTTGAACTTTTTCCAAATGTTTATTATAAAAATCAAAATATTTTTATACAAAGTTGCAAATAATAATAATAAAGCCTTAATCTTGTACTCGTCTCGAATCGGATTAGTTACGAAGTAATGAACCGATTGAAATATTTGCAACAAAAAAAATAATAATTCAATCATTATGCATATTTTCATCAAGAATTATTGGACCAATATGATTAACTCCGTCATCCTTTGAGTAACGCGCATTTAATGTCGAAAACGTTCTTGCTCCCAACAGGAAACATTTTATAGCAATGCTAACCACACGTAACATCAAAGAAAATACAAGGTGTATCAAATCACGAGAAGCTATTAACCGTTGAAGCGGGAGACATAAGCAATTTAACTGTCAAAAGTCTAATTATACTTGCATTTTGTCCTCATCTTCGCAATCCGCATAACTTATCCTCAAATATGCTTAAGTATGAAACACTATGGACTCTGAAGTAACCAGTTCTGGATTTATTATAATCTTGTCCCGATTGTACTATTTATTTGTACCCACCTAAAACAAAAAATGACGACATCGTCGAATTTCATGTGGAAGCGGTGGGAGAGATTTAAGGAACTAGGCTCTCAATTGGGTCCATAAAACCCAACATGATTATAAACTCAGATGTAATATGGTAGGACCGGTGGGCATGACCAGGGGCGAAATTTTTAATATATAACCGTCGTACCTATATCCACTTAATAAAAACACAACACAACTAATATATTTCCTGAAAAGAGAGGGGAAAAAAATTATAGTTAAATATTTTTAAGAATATATAATTTTATTTTGAATGAAAGTCATATTCAATATTTTTATTTTTATTTTGTATAAAAGTCATATTCAATATTTAATATGACAGTAATATCAAAGATGTTGTTCAACAACGCGAAGTTACACATCCAATTTTTTCGATGACGTGGCACAGAAAACCCTTGGTAGAGCGAAAATTTTAATATACTCAATGAGACAGTGGAGGAAGCATCATGGATCAAATATAGCACAAAGAGTGCACCAAAATTAATAAAACAGACAAAACTTCGCGAATTCCAATACCTGCTAGCCATCAGAAACATGTGATGGGAGAGCCAAAGACCCAAAACTAACATGCAGGAGAAGGACAGGAGTAAAGACAAGGCTCTTGCAGTCTTGCATTTTTCACTCCGTTGTGAAATTCGATTTCCCCCTTTACCTTTCCTCTCCCCCTTCTTTTCTCTAGTCAAATACTTTTTTCCTCTCTTCATCCAAAAGATAATCGCACTTTCACTGCTCATGTCCCTCTATCTTTCCTACTTCTCTGACCGCATCGTCCCTCGTCTCGAGTAACTATGATACTCCATATTATTAAAAGTTTCAAACTTTATCAAATCAACAACAATGATTATAAGGTGAACCATTTTTTATCATTATCTTGGTTTCTATCAGCACCTTGACCAGCGCACCAGGTTTTAAAAAATCGATTATTTAATTTATGCTAAAATAAAACATTAGATTTATGAACAAGATTTTAAAATAAATATTATTTAGACAAGAGTATGAAATTAACAAAGTCAAATTCTGATGTTGTTGGATCAGAATTGCAGCTAGCTAGCTAGCTAAATATAGATACACACATATGGCCAAAAGAAACACAGACACACACAGAAAATATCTGATTCTTCTTTCACTTTAACGGAAAGAAGTGCTTTACAGTTTACACAACCAAGGAAGAAAAAAGAGGCACTGAGCTAATGGCTAATTAGCTCCATTCATCTCAAAAGTCACGCCGTCCACGACTCTACGTTCACTATTTCTTTTTTCTTTTTTCCTCGTAGTGTAAAATCTAATATGATATACTGCTACTAAGTAATAAGTAGTAAAAACCTTACACTTTTTACAGACACCGGCTTTTTTCTTTTTCTTTTTTTTTTCCCAGTCTTCAAACATTGATGACAGATGCACCGGTTTTTTCGGCAAATAAAAACACGTCAAAGGCGCTTGTCTTTACCTTCATTGATAGACTTCCTTGATAATTCCGAGGATATGTCGTGCAATGGAACGCTCACAGAACGTGGCAGCTGAGAAGTCTCGCACTCTGTTTCAACATTTCAATAAACTAAAAAATCTTAAACCACCATGATGATGTGTTAATGCATAAAAATAATTACGATATTACCATTGGATGCATTGAAGGACTTCTTGCAGTGTAAAATGGCCCCTTGAATCCCATCCTGTTGCTGCAACAGCGAATCATCACGCCGTTTCGAAGACACAAATCCCGGCGGAGCCGCTGCCACCGCCGAAGATGCCGAACGGCTCTTCCCCAAATGCTTGCACACAACTCGAAGCCCTGCCGGCAGATTCCCCTGTTTTTGACTCTTCACGTCAGCATCCCCTTCCGCCGGTGAAGGTTTCTTCTCCGCCGCAGAGGGTGGCGGTGCAGCAGCTTTGCTTGAGTTGAGCTTGTCTCCATACCTACGAGACACTCTGACGTAGAGAGGCTTCACCATCTTCAAATACTTATGCATTACTTCCTTTGAGAAACGTTTCTCATCGGAAGACGAAGGTGACTCCTCCGGGTTCTGGGATTGGGGTTTGTTACCTCTGGAGCTGTTATCTCTGGTGAACAGAGACTTAATTGGAACCTCTTCCACTTTGAATTTTACAGTAAAAAGCTTTCTCTCTGACTGCTTTTTCTGTGATTCGGGTTGGTGTGGGTTTGGAGCAGCAGAATCCGACCCGGTTGAGTCCTTGTCCGACATTGACTTGTATTTCTTGAGGCCCAACATAAAAACACGAAATTTGGTGGCAGATTTTAACAATGAAGCGGTGAACTGAGGCTTGGAGTTAGTTTCGGAGAAGGAAGAAGGCTCCACTTGCACTAGCTTTCCCTTGAGGAACACATCGTCAGAAGAAGGAGATAGCGAAAGGTTGGGATCGCTACGATCATTGCTTGAAGGGGAAAGCGTAAACTTAAACTCTCTCTCACCCTCACCATCAGATTCTTCAATATTAAAATTATCATCATCATCATCTTCTTCTTCTTGGCTTTGGTCGGCGTTTGGATTTTCATGACCATCTTCGGAATCATCGACTTCGTCGGGTACAGCAAACTCTAAGTCGAAGAAAGGGCCGTCGCTGTCGTCGTCGTTGTCGGTTTCGGTTGCATTATGATTATGAGCGACGGCGGTGAGGATAGTGGTGGTGGCGTTAAGGGTGGGAGTACTGTGAGAAGAAGGTGCGGGTGGAGAACCCCCTCTCCAGTATTTGAGGAAGGTAAAAGCTTCCATGGTAGGGAGAGCCAGTATAGTAGTATAGCAAACTAGAAAAGAAATGATGCGGTTACTTTGCTTTTTAGAGGGAGAGAAAGAGAAATAGAAAGAGAATTGTATGGTGGGAGAAAAAAGGGAAGAGAAAAAGGTTGATGTTTGCTTTTCTTATAATGGAGTTTGCAATACAACTGAGCAGAGATGTAAACAGAAAGAGAGAGAAAGGGAAAGAGTAAGAGAAAGCTTTTATTTAATGTTGTCAGTATGCTTGGTTGCAGAAGAGTCATGTGAGAGGAGTCAGATTAATACGGAGACAGTAGAGAGGGTAGCTTTTATTTCAGATTTCAGAACTCTCACGTACGAGAGGCTATTCTATTCATGATTCATTTTCTATTATTTCTATGTAACATCACCTATATAACACCGTGCATGTTTTCTAAGCAATTCAAAATATAATTAAAATCAAATTTATAACGTGCGAGAATATTTTAACTCCTAAAAATTATCATTACTAATTTATTACTCATCACATCACCATTGGATCAAAGAGAGAGAATATTAAAAAAAAATTGGAAAGAGAGAGAGAAAATGTTAATAGGTAGTAAAAAACTTTAGTAGTGAAAATTATCCTCTTCATTTATAATTACTTTTTTAAAAAATTAAATTTTTTAATTATTTTTAAAGTTCAAAAATATTTTATTTAAAGTCGCACCAAACATAAAAATCTATTTTTAATTTGATGTATACATAAAAAGTCAAAAAATTATGAATAAATAAAATAAAATACGACACGTGACACGGACACGAGACACGACACGTTAATTCTAAAAGATGTCATATTTTGACATGTTGGGACACGTTTTGATTTTAAATAAAATTTTAATATATATAATATGATTTATATTTAATACATATAAGAGTCCATAATAAGTCATATAACCAAACAAATATTTAAATTTCATAACATAGATATAAATATAAATAATTTTTCGTACTTTATTAACTTTTCATGTCAAATTTTATAACAGAAAAAAATTAATTTATAAATTATTTCTTTTATATTTAGTTAATAAAATAAAATTAAGATTTAAAAAAAAAATGTGTCCAAGCGTTGACCGCGTGTCAGAAAAAGTTGACTGCGTGTCGGAAAAACGTGCCCAAGCATTTTCGAGCATTGATCGCGTGTCCCCAAATGTTGACCGCGTGTCCGAGCGTGTCGAAACGTATCCGTGTCCGACACGCAAATTTTTCACACAATCGCGTATCTGTGCTTTGGAGATTACACTTATGATAAGTTTGTTTCGTATTTAAAAAAAATTCTATTTTTGATTCTAATTACACATATTTATTAAAATAAAAAATTAATTTAAATATATAATGCATCTATTTTTAAAATTAAAATTGATAAAATTATATATTTAGTTTAATATATATATATATATATTATATATTTAGTTTAATATTTTTATTGTAAATGCAGATAAGTTATTTATATGAAAAAAATATTTCTGCAGTTAATGCAGATAAGTCATCTGCATTTATTTCCAAAACGGCGTCGTTTTGGTATTAAAATCTTAAAAAATTATAAATATAAAGACTATTATAACCCTGAAATAAATTAAAATTACAAAAATACCATGATTTCCGCCCCAAAATGATGTCGTGTTGGGCTTACTGCAGATAACTTATCTGCAGAAAAAACGAACCCTATTTATATTCATTTCCAAAATGACATCGTTTTGGATTGAGAGATTAAAAAATTATAATGATAAAGATTATTATAACATTGAGATAAATTTATAATTATAAAAATATCTTGATTTTAGCGTCAAAATGATTTTATTTTGGGTTCAATAGAGATAACTTAATTACATTCAATGTAGAAAAAATGAACCATATATATATATATATATGTGTGTGTGTGTGTGTGTGTGTGTGTGTGACTTATCATTTCTCAAGTTGCTTGAAATAACTTTATCTTCAGCTACCAAATCATAATCGTACAAAGATGAATCAATGGTGATAAAGGAAGAGAGAGAAAACAGGAATCATAATCATTTAAAGATGAATCAATTAATATAAGAAAATAAATAAACAAAATACGTAATTTTTTGGTGGACGAAGATAAATATATCTCAAGCTGCATGAGAAATAAAGTTATCTCATGCAACCCTAAAATAATATTATTTTAGGATTTAAAATAAAAAATAAAAGGTATTTTGAAATTTTTACTTTCCTGTTTTAATATGTATATTACTAAAATATTTTTTATTCTAAATCCTAAAAGGATGTCATATTTTTTTTTTTGAAATATTTCAATCGGCTCATCGCTTTGTGACTAGTCCGATTCGGGGCGGGTCTCGGAATTAAGGCTTTAAAAAAGAAGATACCGGAGAAGATCGAATACATGCTCTTACCTCACCTGCTTAGTTTCATACTACTATCTGAGCTTTTGATTGTAGAAGATAACATTGAAGTGAGAAACGTTAATCTCTCTCTCACTATATATAGATATATATATATATATATATATATATATATATATATATATATATATATATATATATATATATATATAAAGGTAGGACCCTTTGACACTAGTGTCAAATTTAATATTTGACACCTCATCTGAGAACTCTTAGATCAAAAAAAAAATTAACGACTCTGATTTGTAAGCATGTGACATCATTGATTTTTTTGGTGTAAGAACTATTAGATGAGGTGTCAAATTTCAAATTTGATACTGTGTCAAAAGATCCTATATATATATATATATATATATATATATATATATATATATATATATATATATATATAAAATCTTTCCTCCTTAAATTTTTTAGCGATTGATTCATATAAAAAACACATAAAACTAATTATTTTAATAATTGACATAATTATTTAATAATAAAGTATTTTACATTTTGTAAGTTTCTAAGGTATACAATAATTTTTATTAAGCATTGAAAAGCTTAATAAGAAAATGTTTGTTAAATAGAGATATATCCGTTTTTTTGGATTGAAGGCCCTATGAATATTAGTCATGGTTATGATTTCCCAAAGGGGGCTAGCGGGTTCGTCGCTGTTGAACCAAGGGGGCCTCACGGAGTCACGGTGAAGAGTGAGGACATATCGCCCTTCCCATTTCCTTCTCCCCCATTCCCCTTACCCACTCTCATTCAGGGAAACGTGCCCAAAGGTTTAATGCCCCACCTAAGGGGAGCATGTATGCTATACTCGAGATCATCTTCTACACGACAGTCGTATATACATCTGTAATTAAGAAAATAACAAGTGGATTAATTTTTTTTTTTCTTTTTCCGTACGGACAACACAGCTTCTTGCTCCATTTTAATTGGTTAGTCGCATGGAGTGTATTGTGCAACAACTGCACAATAGATATTTCCGCTATACTCACATCAGACATGATATTCTAACACATTAATTTTAAAAAATTATTAAATTTTATTATATTAAATAATATTTTTAATATAATTTATATTTAATATATATAGAAATGTATAATAAATCATATAATCAATTAAATATTAAAATTGTATAACATAAATATAAATTAAAAATAATTTTTCATGTCTAGTTAATTTTTCGTATCAAATTTTATATCAAAGAATATTTGATCTATAATTTTTTTTATATATTTAGTTAAAAAATAATAAATAAAATTTACATCTAAATGAATATTGATCACGTGTGGAATGTATGTGGGAAGATTAACTCTATGTATCAAAATGTTGACCATGTAACATAGCGTATAGGAGAAGCGCATCCTACCGTGGACCGAGGACAGGATGGTCCGTTTCAAATATAAAAAATAAAAAGAGATAGGAGGGAAATATAGGGAAAGAAAAGGATATAAGAGTAATTTTTTTTACCCAAAAATAAAAAGGACCACAAATTTTTTTTATACTCCTGAAATATATTAAAAAAATCCGTATAAGAGTATCTCTATGTCCGACACGTATTCTTTTGAAAAGTAAAGTGTGTCCGTACTTTATAGGTGAGCATCCCCTATAATAAAATTAAAAAAAAAATAGGAAGAAAAGGAGAGAGAATGGATAACTCACGTGCCGTGTATCCTGATGGGGTGGGGGTCAGGTGCAAGAATTTTTTTTTCCCCAATCAAACTGGGACATATTTAAAATGTTGCGTGAAATTATGTCTTATTATAAGACTGTACTTAATTGAATGAACAAGACATATCATAACCCCATAAAAAGAACACTTCTTTCATTTATTTTTTCATAAAGTTGACTCGCAACTTTTTAACGTGACCAATCACTAATATACATTAAAAAAAAAAAAAACTAAGATGTACATTAAAGTGTTGTCATGTGGCGAAAATCCCAACACTCCAAGTGTTGTCATGCTTCCTCTATTTAAATTCTAACCTTTCCTATAGTCTCACCACCCCATCTTCTTTGCTCAAAATTTTATTCTACTTAAATTTTTTATTTTCTATATCTCTTAAGTATAATGGAATATATATTTTGATGATGACAAAAGATTTACAAAAAATTTCAAATTGAAGATGAAGTTTATGTTGGGCTTCCTCCTTCAATACTAAGGCCAAGCCCATTTGAGGGGTTTCCTAAAAACCCTAACCTTATTTTCACCTCCTCTATATATACTCATTAGTTGAGAGTGGAGGCTAGGTCAGATTTGAGAGAACAAATTTGAGAGAATTATTTGATTGTTTCAGCAAAAGCTTTATGCTTTGCATTTGAGAGATCTCTAGAGAGAGTTTGAGTGAAACATCTCTAGGGTAGTTTGATTATCACCATTGTTGGAGAGGTCGAGTTAACCACCACATTGGTGCATTTGATTCGTTGTAACCATTATTTTCATAGTGGATTTCTGATCTGGACTAGGTCCCGTGGGTTTTTTACTTCTTCATAGGAGAAGGTTTTCCCACGTTAAATCTGGTTGTGTTCTTCTTCTCTCTCTCCTATTTTCGTTTTGATTTTTCCGCTGCGCTGCCTGACCTGGTGAAGTTCAGGCTG